GTCAAAGTTTGAATCCAATTATTCTATCTGAGAGCTATATTTTCTTTGGCAAGAAATGTGCATGCCTGGCATACATGGCATCTGGCCCATTATAAACACTGTAAGTGGTAGCTGCTGCTATTACTGTTATTATTTGGTTGACCTTGGAAAGAGAGTATAGTCTAGCATTTTGGTTAAAAGAGCATTTTCTAGTGCCAGATTGTTGTCCAGTTGCTCAGTCGTGTCTGACTCTTTGCAACCCCATGGACTGCAGCACACCAGGCTTCCGTGTCCTTCAGTATCTCCCGGAGTTTGCTCAAATTCATGTCCATTGAGTTAGTGATGCTATCTAACCATCTCATCTTCTACTGCCCCCTTCTCTTCGTGCTGTCAATCTTTCCCAGAATCAGGGTCTTTTCCAATGAATCGGCTCTTCACATCAGCTGGCCAAAGTGTTGGAGCTTCAGCTTCAGCATCAGTCCTTCCAATGAATACTCAGGATTGATTTCCTTTAGGTTCAAATTCTAGCTGTGCCACCTACTAGCTGTGTGGCCTTCAGCGAGTTACTTTCCCTCTCTCTGCCTCAGATTCCTTATTTCTAGGGGTGATAATACTAGTGGCTATTTCACAAGGCTTCTGTGAAGTTTAAATATATTGATACATACAAAGCGCTTAGGATAGTGTGCCTGACAATAGTAGAAGCTCAGTAAATATTAACTATCCTCAGGGTAGTGTCTGAAAGTCTGCTGTCAGCAGTTGTTGCTTTAATCAATCATTGACCAGTCCCTCTGTGTGGAGGTAACTCTTCCTCCCTCTGTAGCTCATCTGTGCTCACAGCTCCGTTCACACTAGGAGAGACTCTCCATGCACATTTAATCCCCCCCTGTGTGCAGAGCAGACACTGGAGCATTTCTGCATTGACTTGCCTAGTGTAACGAGTCATTTCCACATCTAGTTGTGTGAACTTTCTTTCTCCCACTTAGTTGTCACCTACAGTCTTCTATTAAAGCCCAGTTTGGTCTCCTAAACTGTGATTTTGAGTTGAGGCCATATGACAGGCTTCCTCCCTGGCAGTGTTCCTTTTCACCCCTTCTCTATCTGTTGCTGTCCACACCATTTGAAGATTCAGTTCCAGTCTGCCCACATCTCATCTGAAGGGGGCCCTTCACCACTCAGAGGTCTCCCTGTGCACCTGGGATGTGTCCTCTGTCCCTGCTCACTCAGTCCAGGCTTAGGTCTTCACCGGTGGCTGTGTGTGTGTGTGTGTGGTTATCACACACCAGAGCTCTATGCTTGCTCTCTTCCCTTCACAGTCACCACCAGTCCTTTAGGTCTTGTTTTGCCACGGCAACTCCATGGTTTTTGTCACTATACTCTAAGCTGTAGCCAGTACCTGCGGACCAGGTATTGTCTCACACCTCCATGCCTTAAACATGCTTTGCCCTCTCCCCGGTGTGTCTGCCCTCTCTTTCTCTTGCTCCAACCTCCTGTTCACCTAGTGAACAATTCGTCCTCCCAATAGCACCTACTCCTGTGAAGTCTTTATCACTTCCTCCCTTTTACAGTTGACCATTCTTAAATTATACCTGACCTGGAGATGGTGACTGCAGCCATGAAATTAAAAGACACTTACTCCTTGGAAGGAAAGTTATGACCAACCTAGACAGCATATTAAAAAGCAGAGATGTTACTTTGCCAACTAAGGTCCGTCTAGTCAGGGCTGTGGTTTTTCCAGTAGTCATGTATGGATGTGAGAGTTGGACTGTGAAGAAAGCTGAGCACCGAAAAATTGATGCTTTTGAACTGTGGTGTTGGAGAACTCTTGAGAGTCCCTTGGACTCCTAGGAGATCCAACCAGTCCATCCTAAAGGAGATCAGTCCTGAGTGTTCATTGGAAGGACTGATGTTGAAGCTGGAACTCCAATACTTGGGCCACCTAATGGGAAGAGCTGACTCATTTGAAAAGACCCTGATGCTGGGAAAGATTGAAGGCAGGAGGAGAAGGTGATGATAGGATGAGATGGTTGGATGGCATCACCAACTCAATGGACATGAGTTTGGGTAAACTCTGGGAGTTGGTGATGGACAGGGAGGCCTGGCGTGCTGCGTTTCATGGGGTCACAAAGAGTTGGACATGACTAAGTGACTGAACTGAACTGGACACTTATCCATTATGTGACCTTAGGCAGATTACTTTAGTTCCAAGACCCTCGATTTCCACCTCCTAAATCAGTGCTATAATCCCGTAATATGCTCAGTGAAAGGTGCCTTCTACTTAGCATATTTAAAATTCAATTTAAGTAGCTCTTACTTTACTATAGGATAAAGTCCAAGCTTCTTAGAAGGGCATACAAGGCCCGCCAGGCATAGAGTCAGCACTGAAATGCCAATACTGTTCTCCTTCCCCTGAGCAATCCCTTACTCTCTCCTGAGCAATCTTGTCTTTATCACATAGCATATTAGACTATTTTGATTATAACATATTACAATTAAACTAGCTTAACTGAAAAAAAAGAGAGACCCAATGGATTTGGGTTATACAGATGGCGAGTTGGAGGGTGACTGGCTCCGGCAGGTCAGGGGCGTGGTGTTGTCTGGGTTTGGGCTCTGTCTCTGTATTTCTCCTCTCTACTACATTTAGCTCATCTCGTGGAAGAACTCTCTTGTTGCTTGGATTCTGCGCCATTAGGAGCACTGAGGGAAATGGAGAGAACACCAGTGGGGTTGGGCAGAAATTCCATAAAGGAAATGAAAGCAGGGGGATGGGAAAGTATCTGAATGCAACCAGACTTAAAGCTACAACAGTCTACTGTGTATGGTTTTATCTCTGCAGACAATTTGCAGATATTGTCCCCCGCACCACCACCCCCCACCCCCACCCATGACTCAACCCCATCCTTTCTCCTACACTTACAGTACTGTGTTTCAGATTGCCTGTGGAAGGGGCCATCTTTCCTCAAACTCAGGATATCCCAAACTGCATTCACTTCCTCCATCCTGCTCCATGGTGTTATCCAGCTTGCCAGTCTGGCTATCAGTTCTGGTCCCATCCCCTCATCTTCCTTCTTGCTCCGTTCTAGGTTAGGCCCTCACCGTGTCTGACCTGTGCCTCTGAGCCGGTCTCCCACCTGGCCTCCCTTCCTCTGCCTTCCTCTTGATAATCTCGCTGTTACCAGGTTTTTCTTTGTAAATAACAATGCGGATCATACCAACCCCTTACAAATCTCCAGGGACATCTCAGTACAAACAAAACTCCTCTTTCTTTCATTCAAAACACTTTATGATTTGGGGCCAACCTACTTTTTAACCTTCCAGCATATGAAGGCCTTTCGCTCACTGGATCCTGTAGCCAAATAGAATCACTTGCAGTTCCCTGCTCCTGTCCTAGTCTTCCCTCCAGCCATCCCTTTGTCCATGCTTTTTCCTCAGCTTGAATCATCTATGTTACTTCCACCTCACTTGCTGTGTCGCCTTGAGAAAAAATCCTTCACCCGTTCTGATTCCATTCTTTCCCCATCTGTTAAGCAATGATCACAGCAGTTACCTTACAGGACCGAACCGTAAGGGCACGTGGGAAGCAGCTGGCCCCATGCTTGCCGGAGAAAGTGTTGCATTTTCTCTTTCCCCCTTTTGGCCTTTCTCCCACATCTTCCAGATCTTTCTAACTCTCTTTGTTCCATCTTGATAACCTCCCCTGTCCCCTCACCAGAAGCCTTCCCTTTTCTCTCTCCAGAACTCTTCCAGCACATTTTATCACAGCCCTTTCCCCCAAACTGAAATTTTTTTTTAACTTCAGTTCAGTGAACACTGAACAATACTCATAGAGTGTTGGCATTGGCTATGTACAACAGATCAGGCCTTGTCCCCCTGACCTCTCAAGGGTTCAGGCAGCCCCCCAGTTCAGATGGTATGATGAGTGTTTGCATGCAGCCTCTCTCTTTTGCTGGCTGGATGTCCTTCCTTCAGCCAAGGTCCCAACCTTAGGCAGAGGACACCAGCGAGCTGACTGAGGCCCATGGACATGCAGAATCATTAACCGACAAGCCCTTCCCCTCATCTTCACTCCTCTGTCCTCACGGACACAGCCCTCCCCTCAACTCCTCTGTGCGGATACAGTTAGAAAGTGCCCTTTGTCCTTTACAGATGGGGAAGGGAGAAGCTCGACATAGGCCCCAGGAGGCTGCTTCCATTTCTACCTGCCGCTCCTATTGCCTCTCAGCCTCTGACCCTCAGTACCTGTTCTCAGCCAGTTCGCCTCGCCTCCACACCCTGTTCCCTCCACTGCTCCACTGGCTCCCTTGCAGGCACATACTGATAATACCTTTTCCCATTTTTTCCCCCTGCTTCTTTGATCCCATTTCCCTTTAGATTTTTTTTTTTTCCAGAAACACATAAAACCACATAATCATGGAAATAGAGTTGTTAGAGTTCGGTTCATACAGATGGTGGTTTTCAGGCTGAACCCTGGAGAAGGTAAATCAGTAGTTTATCTTCTGGGGAGGGATGATGGAGAAAGGCCCATGTGAGTGAGGTGTGAGTCAGAGAGGGTGGGGCCCAGGGGAAGTAGTCACCTCACTTCCCTTTAGTCAGGAAGGCTCCATGAATTTCAGGGGGAGTTTCAGCTCTTGGACTTGGTATTCTTCCCTGCCCACACACACATCTGGCCTTTATCCTTATCAAGAATGACTTCCTGGACTTTTTCAGTTTCTCCAGTTTATCAGCCTGCCCCCAGTGTAGGTAGTGTTCCATGGACCGTCTTACCTCCAAGACCTTCCACCCAGCTTCCCTGCAGGTTCTAAATGGTCCCATTTCCTTGCCGTCCGTTGACAAACTTACCCTTCTTTTCTGTATATTTCAGCCTATAAGGTGTTTTCCTGAGCCAAAGTCTAAACTGCGCCCCCCACCCCTGCCCTATGTGTGCTGTATCTCATTGTCTTCCACACAGCACATAAACACGCTTAAGCCTCTTCCCATTAAAAACAACCCTTAGGGGAGCAGTGGATTACCCTGAACCCAGCAAAATGGAGCTTGAGGCCTTGAGTAGATGTACCAGTCCAGCGAACCCCGCTATCTTTCCCCATGTGGCTGTGGTGCTGTTGGCCGTTGATATGTTCTTCACCCCTGGTTGTTTGTTTATGAGGTCACCGCCGCCAAGTACACTTGGGATATCCACAGAGAGCTCCTCATCTCATTGGAGGCCTCAATCTTCATTGGCTTTCGAGTCCTCTGCCTGCTGCTCTGGGTCAGCGTCTATGTCTGAGCTCCCAAGGGTTCCAACCAAGGGTCCTCACTGCATCCTTCCTTTGGTAAATTAATTTTTGGTTTTTGTTTCTACTGTTGCTGGAAGTGTCCTACCTGCTGCTCACAGTAAAGGCATATATGTGAAAAATCAAAATCAAAACCTTTAGGAGGTGAGAGTCAGGCACTGATATTTTAAAAACTCTCCAGGTGATTCTGGTGTGCAGCCAGGGCTAAAAAAGATAAACAGCTAAATCCAGACTTCATACCAGGCCACACAGAGCTCTTCATGACTGACTCCTGCCAACGTTCCCCCCTTACCCACATGCCCTCTGGACTGGAGACTCCCCAGAACTCCCCACGCCAGCCATATTTCCTGCTTCCATGCCTTCACAGACATGCTTCCGTCCACCTGAAAATGTTTCCCTGCCTTCTTTAACACTCAGCTTTGGTGTCATTTCTATGAAGCCTTCAACTAACCCCCAGCTTGGGGTAAGGTGCCCCCCCCCACCCCCTTACTGCTCTCTTAACCCTCTCGGTTTAACTCACGACTTGCTATTGTAATTGTTAATTTATCTATCTGTCTTCTTTTCTAGACTGTGAATATTTTTCAGGAACCCCAGTGCCTTGGAGATGCCATTTGGTAGGACCTGGTTTGGTGGTCTATATCAGATATTTGAAGGTGCTTTCTCCTAGGACTAGGACTGGAACTGAAGGAAGTGAGTCTTTGGGCATGTTAATGTAGTCAGTGGGCCTTTACTGAGGGCTTGCTGTGGTCATTTATTAATACCAGCATGGTCCAGTTGACTGATGGATAGTTGAAGATCTCTATCTCTTCCAGGTGGCACAGTGGTAAAGAATCCTCCTGCCAAGGCAAGAGATGGGAGAGATGTGGGTTTGACTCCTGGGTTGGGAAGATCCCCTGGAGTAGGAAAGGGCAGCCCACTCCAGTTTTTTTATCTAGAAAGTTCCATGGACAGAGGAGGCTGGCGAGTGACAGTCCATGGGGTCAGAAAGAGTTGGATAGAATTGAGCACAGCACCCACACATAAATCTCTACCATATTTAACCTCAGGAACTGTTTCATCACTTATAACAGTCTGCTTTGTTTGTCTCTAGATGGACGCTTAGTCCAAACCTCTCAATAGTGCTCTCCAAACAGTGCTTTGCACAGTTTATTTAGGAAGTATTTGTTGAATGAATGCTCATTAATTGACATACAAGCATATACCTTCTTGCTTCACCCTTGGCTATGAAATATCAAGGTAGAAACAGTGCTGAGTACTTTACCTGGGTCATCTCCTTTAATCTTCACAGTCCTATGAGACAGGTGCTATTGGAGGTTCAGGCACTCACATCAAGTCATATAAGTACTAACTGGAGATTTAAAATCAGGTCTTTGGAGTTAGATGTGACCCCCAGGGCTACTGAAGTATACCTAACACAATAAATATTTATTGACTCAACAGATACTGCCATCCCAAGGCAAGTAGAAAAGCTTTTGAATTCTTAACTGTCTTCCCAACTTGACTCTGGGTCCCTCAACTTCTCTTCCTCTTCTCACATTTCTCATTCACCCTAATACTCTGCAAACACTGTGAAGGAGCAGATGAGTCCAACATTGGTCAGATACTAGAGGTACAGAGACAACTAAAATATTGGTCCTTGCTGAAAAAAACTTACAGTGAGGGGGTATGCAGATAATTGAATTGCAGTGAGATTGTGAAAGCGAAGGGAGGGACTGTTTTATTGCCTGGAAAAGCTGCTTTTATCTTGAGTTAGGAGACAGGGCTTGGAGGTGTGGGGGTATATGAAAGATGCTGATATCCTTGGGGAACAGTTAAAGCATAGGGTGTGGCCCAGGAGAATGGGGGGAGGCTGAGGACCAGATCAGGGCGGCCTTCAGGTACAATGCTAATTAGTGTGAGCCTTTTGAATTCTTTTGCCATTTCCTTTCAAGGGTAGGTAGTCGTAGGTACTCCTGGACTGGATCAGAACTGTACTTTGGCTCTGACCTCTTAACTCTAAGACTAAACTTTCACATAGCTTGTTGTTTAGTGGCTAAGTGTCTGACTCTTGCGACCCCATGGACTGTAGTCCACCAGGCTTCTCTGTGCATGGGATTTCCCAGGCAGGAATACTGGAGTGGGTTGCCATTTCCTTCTCCAGGAGAGCTTTCCTAACCCAGGATGGAACCTGAATCTCCTGCATTGGCAGGCAGGTTCTTTACTAGCTGCAGCACCGAGGAAGCCCCTCCACAAAGCTACATTCCACCACTGATGAACACATTGTTTCTCCCAAACTGCCACCTCCTCTGAATTCCACATGTACATCATACCGTCCTGTGCACAGTTACTGGATCACTGTGTGCAATGATCAGCACTGTTCCAGGAGCTGCTGGAGATACAGATTTCATTTTGCTGAAACCGAGTGCTCAACCCAGTGGTTCTGTCTAGTTGGTGAGTGTATGGCGTGGGGAGGTGCAGGGAGCCAGACAAAGACAACTAAGTGTACAGAGTGAGTCCAGCTGTCTCGGGGAAACCTCCAGTGTCTATTTTTCCAAGCCTGTCAGTTTCCAGACCTTCTTGGGTGAGGGTGGTCTCTCATCTGCTCCCTGCCAGTACCCTTTCTCACTGGCTGCCAGTGTGAAGTGATTTGGCTAGACAGTGAACCCCATCTGGGGACAGCATCTGCCTTGTTCATTGATATGCCACCAGCAATTAACCCCGTCTTGCACGTGGTAGATGGTCAGTAATATGTGGGTATTTACTAACACAGGTCTGATTGTAGCCTCCTCAAAACTCTTTGGTTTCTCCTCTGCTTCCAGAATAAACCAAACTGCTCTATTTGGCCTTCCACATTCAGCCACAGCTGGTTCACTTCCCCTTTTTCCTTCCACAGCCTTGAAGAGGCCAGCGTAGCCAGTGATTCATTAATTTCCCCTGCCCCAGGCTACTTGTATTCTCCCACCTCCGGCCCACACGGTCGTCTCAACAACTCCTAATGCTGGGCTCACCCAAGTTTATGGGCTGGTAAGGAAGGCTTCCCTACACAGCGGCTACCTGGGCTGAGACCTTCCCGCCTACCGAGTCCACTCTCCAGGCACAGAGAGGCTGCCTGCAGCCCACCCCTCCGGTCCCACTCTCTGGAGAGGGAGCTCTATGAGGGGACGGCTGACCCTGGAACTTGCTCCAAGGTCCCAGGTGGGGTGGGTCGGCTACGAACAGAAGCTGTGTTCGTTGTGCTGGTGGATGAATCCCAGAGGGTCCAGAAGGAGGCCACGCAGGGGCTAAACACTAGGAAGGCGCAGGGTGCAGTTTCGGCGGGCGAGGGCCCGGGCCAGGCCGCGCGAGCTGACCGAGGCTGGAGGTGATGCGGCGGGAAGGGGTGGGGAGCCGGGGCTGGGCGCGCTTCCTGCCGGGGCCCGGGCGGCCCGCCCCTGCCTCCGCCCTGTGGGCCCAGCAGAGCCGGAGCTGGCGGGCCCAGCAGAGCCGGGGCTGGCCGGCCCCTCCTGCCTGGACCAGAGGCCCAATCAGCGGGCGCCCCCTACCCGGCCCGCCCTCTCCCCCTCTGGTGACAGAAAGTCGGCCCAGCAGATGAGGAAGTGGCAGGCAGGCTGGCCCTGGGGACTCCTCTCCAGCCCTGCTCCATCCCAGCCCTCCACAACTGCCCGCCTGGCCCCCACTGGTGAGTCGAGACCTCCCAGGGCGGGCTCGCCACGTGCCCAGGCCCCTGACCCGCGGGGCCATCCGGCCCGGCCCGGCCCGGCCCTGCCCAGGCAGTGGGCGAGGCTGTGCCTGTGGAGAGTGGGTGGGAGGTCCCAGCTCTCCGGGGCTGGGCCTCCCCAGCAGCCTCCCTCGCGCCTGGCCCCCATTTGCTTGAACCTGGGCCTTCCTCCACCACCTCCTCCTCTGGCCCCTGTCCGTCTCTTATTCCTTCCTCCCCTTGGCGCCCTTTTGCACCCCCGCTGCTCCCTTCGCCTATCTCCTTTTCCCTTCCATCCATCTTAAAGGAAGGAAGGACCAGACCGAGTTTCCCTACTGGGGACACACCCGGACTCTCCTCAAACTTGGGGAGAGGGCCTTCCAGAAGCCTGGAGCCACCCCTGACCTCCAGGGTGCCTGTGGGTGGGGGAGGTGAACTTGGGGATGGTGGCAGAGAGAGACTGGGAGATAACAAGCTGGCAAGCTCACACGGGTCGAGGAGGAGCTGTGTGTTAGAGCACATGCTTCTGGGCAGGCCCTACCCCAGAATAAGCAGCCAGCAACACTCTGACTGAATGAATGAATGATGACTGCCGTTGGTGAAAAGAGTTGTGGGTGTGCGTGACCCAGGGCAGGTGTATGTCTCCACATGGCGTGGGTGGTGTTGGCTTCATTCACCTGCAGGTGGGCTGTGTGAGTTTATGTCTGTGACCGTGCTCGTCTGAGACTCACAGACGTGAGAGGAAACCTGCGTTGTGAGCACAAGCACTTGCACATGGTAATGCGGCTCCTGTATGTGTGTTTAGGTGTGTTTGCCAGCTGTGTGCGTAGCTAGGAGCAGGCCTGAGTATTAGAGACCGTGCATGTCAAAGTCCACAAAGACTTGTCCGGGTAGTTTGTCAGACAAGGGCAGTTGCAGCCGACAGGAGGCAGGTGGGCTCTGTGTGTGCATGCGTGTGCCCGCCACTGGCGAGTTGTTGCAGGGGCAGAGGGAGAGCTGTGGCAGGGGCGGTGTGTATGGGAGGGCTGGGGGCCTGACCGTGGCGGGGCAGTTGTGGGTGGGCGTGGAGGTTGGAGGAGCATCTGTGAGATGTGTGTGCAGCCCCTGTGACTGTCAGAAGTTGTGTTCTTTACCTGCAGGGCTGCTTCTCTGGGTGGAGGGAACCTGGCCAACCCGCGTGCAGGCAGCTCGCGGAGCACCTGCTGCGCTGGCTGTTTGGGGAGCGCCTTGCCCCTTGGGGGCTGTCTGTCTGGAGTCCCAGGCTCTCCTCCCGGCCAAGGCTTTTGTGTCCCTTCGAGCCCTCCCCCGACATTCCTTCAGGCTCAGAGAGGGAGAGGGCCTAGTCAATTATGACCGCTCCTTGAGGGAGGGGAAGATTCCTGAGACCTCCCCCACTCCCCACCTCCTCACATGCCACTGGCTCCCGGCCCCTCCCTGGGAGAGAGGGGTGATGGTACCCATTCTGAAGTAGGACAGCCTGAGAATTTATGGCTCATTTAGGAGAGGATGCCCTGGTATAGGTTTTCAGCAGTTCTCTTTGGGCTGAGGCTAGGCCTGGGGCTGGAGTCCAGGTTTTTGGCTCAAAACCTAGAGCTCATCTGACTGGCCCGAGGTGGCTGGGTGGGTGGTGAGTCCTGTGCTTTACTTGGCTTTCTCAATCCTGGTGGGTCGTCCAGGCACTGACCTGTGGCCTGGACCCACCCTCCACCTCTGATTCTGTGCAGTGGGGGTGGGCAGAGGGCGGGGCCGCTGCCAGATCTAGTCAGACAGGTGGAGCCGCCAGGGCAGGAGTCTCAAAGAGCCAGGCTCCTGGAGAGGAAGGGTGAGAGGAGAGCGTCTGAGACAGAGGAGAGGCTGGAGGTGAGAGCCCAGGAGGGCAGAGGAGAGCGCGAGGGAGTGTCTCGGCAGGGGAGAGGAGGGAGGGACAGTTCCCTAGAGGACAGGAGGGACCATCCCGGGAGATGTGCATCCTGAAATAGGGCAAGAGAAATTAAAGGGAAGGACCTCTGGAGAGAAGGAAGACCCAGGTCTGGAGAGGTGAGAGACTGGCGAGGAAGGGAGAGGAGGTTCGTTCTGGAGATGAATTCCCTGGCGGTAGGAGGTAAGCCTCTCTGGAAGGAGACCAGAAATTGATAGTCCTCTTGTGGAAGAAGAAGGAAAGTCAGAAAGTAGAAATCCCTGGAGAGGAGCAGAGTGTGAGGATAGGAGAGGAAGGTGTGGAGAGGAAGGGCAGAACAGCCCTTCCCAGGCATGCAGGATGTGTGGGAAGCAGATCCCCCACCCGCCCCACCCCCACCTCCCACTGCCTCCTCCTTGCTCTGGTCCCTAGCAATTCCTTCCTCTCACTGCTGTGTCCTTTCTGTGGCAAGGTGTCTGGAACTGTCCTGTCTGGTCTGTGTCCTGTCTGTGGGTCAAGGGTGAAATTGGGGGGGGGTGGCGTTGTGGGAAAAGTCAGCCCTCTCTGACACCTATCCACCTGACCTCATCAGAGTCCTTAGCCAGGATGGAGGCTGTTGTGAACCTGTACCAGGAGATGATGAAGCATGCAGGTGAGATGCTGTCTACTAGCCCTTCCTCCTTACAGACCCCTTGATCCTTTGTGACCTGACCTCATGTCTGCAAACCTGGTGGGGACCATTTGGACTCTGTGACCCTTCCTTACTTCTTTTACCCTTATTCATAGATCCACGGGTCCAGGGCTACCCTCTGATGGGGTCCCCCCTGCTAATGACCTCCATCCTCCTGACCTATGTATACTTCGTTCTCTCACTGGGGCCTCGCATCATGGCCAACCGGAAGCCCTTCCAGCTCCGTGGCTTCATGGTTGTCTACAACTTCTCACTGGTGGCACTTTCTCTCTACATTGTCTATGAGGTAGGCCCCTGGGATGCCTCAGCTTTATTCCTACAGGATAATGGGTGGGCCCTTGGGCTAGAGGAGGCATCTTCTTTCCAGAGAGGCTCAGCTCTGTTTCTCCATCTAGAGCAGGGGTGCCCAACCTCCAGGCCATGATTGGGGACTGCTGGTCTAGAGAACAGAAGAGATCTGGGGGAGGGAGGGATGTCTGGCTCTCTAATCCACACTTCTTCATAGTTCCTGATGTCTGGCTGGCTAAGTTCCTACACCTGGCGCTGCGACCCAGTGGACTTTTCCAACAACCCGGAGGCACTGAGGGTAAGTGGTGGAGGCCAGGCCCCAACCAACCAGGGGTAAGAGCACTTTGGATGTGCCATCTTATAGGCCCGTTTAGAGAGGCTCTTGGCAGTCCTAAAGATGTCCTGACTTCTTACAGATGGTTCGAGTGGCCTGGCTCTTCCTCTTCTCCAAGTTCATTGAGCTGATAGACACAGTGAGTAATTACATGAGATTTGGGAACGTGTGGGGAGAAAGAAGTGAGAGGCCTTGGCTCTGAAGCCCCTTCCCCCCACACTTCTCTCAGGTGATCTTTGTTCTCCGGAAGAAAGATGGACAGGTGACCTTCCTACATGTCTTCCATCACTCAGTGCTTCCCTGGAGCTGGTGGTGGGGGGTAAAAATAGCCCCAGGTGAGTGGCGAAGGCCACTGGGGGAGGGACAGGTCCTGGGCACCAGAGGCTTGACTCTCCTGACCCTGTTTGTTGTCCACTCACAGGAGGAATGGGCTCTTTCCACGCCATGATAAACTCCTCTGTGCACGTCATCATGTACCTGTACTATGGATTGTCTGCCCTTGGCCCTGTGGCTCAGCCCTACCTTTGGTGGAAAAAGCACATGACAGCCATCCAGCTGGTGAGTAGACTGAGCCTGACCCACAATCATCCCCCCAGCATTCTGGTTTGGACCCTACCTTTACCCAACCTACCTCACCTTTGACTCCAGCCCTCCCCACTCAGTGTTCTATCCCCTTGCCCTCCAGTCCTCTCTCCCTGTGCCCTCTGACCCATGCCTTTTGGTCCCAGATCCAGTTTGTCCTGGTCTCGCTGCACATCTCCCAGTACTACTTCCTGCCCAGTTGTAACTACCAGTACCCAGTCATCATCCACCTCATTTGGATGTACGGCACCATCTTCTTCGTGCTCTTCTCCAATTTCTGGTATCAGTCTTACACTAAAGGCAAGCGGCTGCCCCGTGTACTTCAGCAAAATGGAGTTCCAGGTACCACCAAAGTCAAGGCCAACTAAGAAACATGGCCTAGCTAGGTGCCCACCTAAGTGCCTCAGGACTGCACCTTGGGCAGCAGCTGTCATTGTCCTCCCCAGCTACACCTGTGACCAGGGCTTATGTGGCCAGGACTGAGCAGCAGACAGCTCTCTGCTCCCCACAGCTGGTACACAGAGACCACCGCTTCCGTTCCTCCCTGACTTCTCCCGGCCAGCCCCAGGGATGTGGCCTCACTGCCCTCTGCCACTCCAGAGCCGGGGGCTGAAAGGGCTGGACACTTACTTCGCCCTCCCTGCCTTACACTTGGGAGAGGAGCACTCAGGGCTGGCCCCCACCAGGGTCTTGTGGCCTTTTTCCTCACACTGAAGAGGTCAGCAATAATCTGTCACTGTGGACCCAGGCTCCCCCTTTCTCCACCCCACAATGAAGTAGGAGATTCTTGGCCAAAGGTCAGGGTGGGTGGGGGGCCTGGGAATATAGCCTGCGGAGGCTGCTCACTCCTTTATGTCTTTATTAAAAGTGACAGAGGAAAGCACGGTGGCTGTGTGTGTGCATGTGTCAATGGAAAAAGTGGGTACAAAGCCTGCCAGCCTGTCTGCAAACAGGATGGGTGGTCAAGGTGCCCGCAGGATCGATGTTTCTAGCTCTCTGATCACAGTAGAGAGGAGCCTCTGGGAAGGCTGCTGGGACAGAGGTCGTGCCAGAAGAGAGGGAGATGTGACTTTATTAGAAAAGTAAAAAAGCAAAACAAAACAAAAAACAAACCCCACAAAACACTGCGAGGAGTTGGTCCTCAGCGGATGCCTTGGTGGATGAGGCTACTTTTGGCCGCACTGGCCTTCTCCCGCTCCCGCCGCCGGGCAGGGTCCAGCTCAAAGCATCGCCACAGCCGCAGGGTCTCATCTGCTGCTGCGGACGCCACTGTAGCCCCATCTGGGCTCATAGTCAGACTGAGTACCCGGGCTGTGTGACCTGGGAAATGAGGAGGAAAAAAGGGAGAGCAATACATAGGATTGTAGGTACCTAACCCCTCCAATTTTGAGAGTTTTTGTAACAGTTTAATTGAGATAATTAACAAGTCACATACTATAAAATTGATCTTTTTAAAGCATACAATTCATTGGTTTCTAAAGTTGTGCCACCATCACAATGATAATTCATCACTCCATAAAGACAGTCACTCCTCAGTACTCTCTCCTCCCAGCCTCTGGCAACCATTAATCTGTTTTCTGTCTCTCTGCATTTGCCTCTACTGGACATTTCATACAAGTAGTCATACAATATGTGCCCTTTTGTGCCTGTCACTTAGCACCTACCTTTCAGCTCAGCCACCTTGGCCATGGTTGGGTACTTCCAAATAACCAGCTGGTTCTGGGCAAAGCCGTGGCCTGAGATAAGCTCCTTGTAGTGGGGAGACCAGAGGATGGAGCACACCTGTGGAGAGGAGATGGCATGGGCATGACATACATAGAGCCAACACTACTCAAATCGGAACCGCGTCCACCGTGGTGTCAGGCACTCTGCCAGAGGCTACAGACTCAGACTTGAGTAACTGTAGTCCTTACAAAACCCTTTTGAGAGTTAGACCTGTTAACCATTTTATAGATGAGAAATCAGTTGGAAGATTCAGTAAGTTGTCTAAGCTCACATGCAAATTAAATTAGTTAAGTTAGGTGACAGAGCCAGAATTTGAACTCTGGCTCCAGAGTCTGAGGCTAGAATAAAGCAAAGTCTGCATGTACTGGGCAAGGGGGTGTCTGCCAGGAGAGGAAGCTGCAGTGCCTGCAGGGAGACCCACCTTTGAGCTAGGACCTCAAATATCATTCTAAAACATTTGGATTATACACTGTAGGTAATTGGGAGCCCTTGCAGGGCTTGAGGAGGATAGAAACAGACTACCCAGACCAATATAGAGTGCAGACTGGAAGCAATAAAAGACCAGTGCTGTGAGCCTCCACAGGAAGAAGGATGAGGCCGAGGGGAGGGGACACATGTGAATGATACTCTGAGGGAAAACTGATATATCTTGGTGACTAGGTGAGGAAGATGAAAGAGTATTGTTCAGATTTCTTACTATCCCTCTCAAATAGCAGAGGAGGAACACACATTTCAGGGAGGCAAGGGGAAGCGAAAAGTTTAATTTGGGACATACTAGGGTGGTGCCACCTTACAGAATGTGGGGTTAGAGACAGGCTGGTTGTGGACTGTTGAAAATGTGTGTCTGGAATTGAAGGGTGACATCTGAGCTTGGCGATCATGCCAGTATTGCCTCGGTGAAGCCATTGGTGGGGAGGAGGTTGCCCAGGAAAGCTACACAGAATAAGAGCACGTCTGGGAGTGAGGCTAGAATAAGGACTACCTGGGAATGGGCATCCACGGCACTCAGACAGGCCCCAGAGCAGACGTTCCAGATCCGAATGTGTCGATCACTCGTGCCCCCGCCAGTTGCCAGGACGTTGGACTGCCAGGGACACCAAGCTACAGCCTAGATGGGACAAAGGTGAAGTCAGCAGGTGCTGGAGCAAGACAAGGAGTTACGAGTTACCGGGCACACAGATTAACTCAGTCCAATTCCATCATCCCACGTCCTCTTAATAGTCCCCAGGTGGTTCTAGGTGAGAGTCTGCAGAGGCCCAGCCCAGCCCCACTCTCACCTTGACAGCCCCTTGATGCTGGGTGAAGGTCTGCAGAGGAACCCAGCCACCCTCTCCAGGAGCACTAGGCCACACGTTGACCAAGTTGTCGTTGCCGCCACTGGCTAAATGTCGTCCATCTGGGGCCCAGCGCAAGCCACACACTTCTTGGCTATGGCCACTCAGTGTGGCCACATGGTGTTCTGCTACCCGAACATCATGGTGGTGGATGTGGCCAGAGCGTGAGCCACTGCAGGAGGGGAGAAGGGAACCAAGTCCTGTAGCAGTGCCAAACAGGCGGCAGGCCAGAGCTGCTTCTGTTAGAGGTGTACAGTCCAGGGAGAGGGGGGCCAAAATCTGATTTTGTAACAGATTAGTAAAGCCACTGACCTGGACAGGATATAGCTATTCCAACAGAGGGAGCCCACTCGGGCAGAATGACTGGTCATGTTTCGAAGCCGTTTCTGCTGTTGCACATCCCATAGCTACAGAGAGAGAAGACCATGAGGATCGGGACTTGGCATTAGAATCGTCCTGCTGGGCAAGCCCCCGGGTCTGGGGACAATAGAGCTGCAGCACCAGGACAAGTCTCACCTGCACCTCGGCACTGCTGGTGCCCACAGCCAGGTAGTTGCCCTCTTTGATCCAGGCCACAGAAGATATATAGTCCCCAGGCTGCTCCATTTGCAGCAGCTGCAAAATGTCACCAGTGCTAGCACTCCACAAGTATACACTGTTGTCCAAAGCCACAGCCAGTACATTCCCAGAGCTCCAATCCACAAGGTTCAGGTCTGCCAGAGGGGAAAGGGAAGAGCATGAGCTGTCCTGTTTGCCTTGTCCCTCTCTCTCCCTCTTTCTCCATCCGCTGGACAAGGAGAAGACTGCACTTACAGTAGTCATTCCGGATTTCAGGGGCATCCAGGATGCGGTCTGGCAGGGAAGGAATGTAGCGGCAAGTCTTCCTGCTGGAGCCTGGCGTGGCCTTCTGGCTATAGAGTACTTTTAGCCTGTTCTGGTAACCTGTGGCAACAGAATGGGTCTAGACTGGGAGGATTGACACTTCCACATGCCTTTAGACAGGAAGGCCAGATAAGCACTTCCTTCCCCTCAGTCTTAGGTGGAAAAGGCAGACAGCCATCTCATCCGTCCTGAGCCCTGGGGATAGACTGACATCTTACCCTCTGGGGCATTTTGTGGTTTTCCACTGAGCCGAAGGATCTTGGCTTCTTCCATGTCAAAACCGTTCAGATTCAAAGCCCATGCTTTCTGATGTTCCTGGCACATAAGGGTGGGGATGAGGTGGCGGTATTATCTAGATTTCACAGACCAGTTTCCTGCTAGAAGTCCCCTGGGATACATACCTTCTTGGTGGGCGTCTCACTGTTGTCGGGCTGGTTCTCCTTGCTCAGGAGGAAGCTAGCCACCTCCATCTGGGAAGCATTGCGATGGGGGATATAGCGGTCACCGCCAGGTTTGCTGGGAGTGGTCTGAAGCTTGGAGCTGGATTTGCCTGGGATAGGGACAGGGAAGCCACACTGTCAGACCCGGCTCAGGGGGAGGAGGCGTGAAGGCTGCTTCAAGCCCTTGCCCTTTCCTCACCGCGACCCGCCGCACCCTACTGACCGGGAGTTCGGCCTGGAGTCCTGCCGGCGCTGTGGGATCGGTTGGCTGCCCGCATAGGCGAGGGGGCCGGCCCCGCGGCTTCCTTCGCTTTGCGCTGCCAGCGCGCAGGGGGTGCATTGGGGATGGGTGTATCTAGCTGCAGCAGCGAGTGCAAGTCACTCTCGAACACGAACTGGGCCATGGGAGCGTCTGGAGGGAGAGGGTTCCTTGCAGTGGCTGCCCGCTGAGCCCCAGAGTAAGAGAGGCGACCGTGCTCTGGGGCGGCCGACCACAGTCAGGACCACCCTTGCCACAGCCCTTCCCAGCCCAGCACCCTCGGCCGCGGTCCCAGACCGGTTCGCTCAGTCCAGCTGTCTCTCACCGTTAATTTAAAGCAGGTTCCGATCCTAGACCGGCTTTAGCAGTGAGGACTTGGACGACTTAAACTCTCCGCTCCAAGCACTCATTGGCTCCTTCAAAATCCAACCGTCGCAACCGTCGCCCTAGACCATTGGCCTCCACGGCACAGGGGGCGGGTCTTCCGGGGGAAGCTCCCGATCTCACGGGAGTCCAGCAAGCGAGCGGGATTTGAAGGGTGGGAGAAAGGCAAAGGCAGCTTCTACGCCACCAGGTGTCGGGAAACGGGGCGGGGCGGGGCGGGGCGCGTCTGGGGGCGGGGCCTGCGCTGGCTGCCTTCCCCTATTGGTTTCATTCATTCCTCAGGCTCCCCGGCACCGTCCTTCACGCTTCATGCTTGAGGATCGTTTTTATGATACGAGGTGCAGAACTCGGTGGAATGACCTAAACACTTAAACCTGTTTAGAGAAGGCAGTGTAAGGCAGTGGCCGACCAGCCGGACCGAAGGCAGGCAGGAAGGTTGGGAGTGGGGTGCTGCAGGAGGTGACTGAGAAACTTAGAAGCAGAAGAGAGAAGGCCGGAGCGTCCTGTTAGCTTAGTGCTTGCGGGAACATGCTAGGAAGGAAGAAGTGCCTGTGTTTGTTTTCAAAAACTGTTTTGTTTGCTGTTGTTTTAGAAACAAGGAAAATTAAGCTTAAAGAGGGGTGAATTCCTTATGGTCAAGAAAAAAGATCAGGATTCAGACCTGCCTATCTGGGAGGTTAAGATTGGATAGCCCTGTGAGGGAAACTGGGGCTGACCCCCATGGAGCTTGAGATGTCAGGATTTTTAGAGATCCACGAGTCTAATCTGCACGTGGCGCATCTCCGCATCCCAGCAACACACCCGTATTTTACAGATGAAGAATCCGCAGCCCAGAAAGGGATTTGTGCAAGGTCGCATGCTGGTGGGAGTCCAGATCTGACTCCTGTTCAATAGAGTCTCTAATAGTGACTTCATTGAATTGTATGATATACTTAGAGGTGAAGCAGCAATCATAAAAATGATAATGGGCACCATTACTGACCATCTGCTAACTATGATGTTTAAAAGAGTTTACGTACATTACTGCAGGTAATTCTTAATCCCATAAGGCAGAAAATTTATTCCCTTTTTACAAAAAAAAGAAAGAAAGAAAGAAAGAAACCAGGTCAGGGAAAGTTGAGAAACGTGCCCAAAGGCACACAGCCAATAATAATTAGTGGAGCCAAACTATCTAACTAACCTCAGCAATCTAACCATATTCTACACTGTCCCAGAGAGAGGCTAGGGAAAAAAAAAAAAATCTTTAGCCTAAAATCAATTCTGATAATGACAGAGAAAATTTTGGAGTTTTCACCAAACGATATTGTTATTACCTTTAATTTTGAAGCATTCATGTTATCTCTTTCCAATTACCTCGGAAAACAAGGATTTAGGTGTCCTAGGGTTGGAAATGGGGAGTCCCTGAACCCTAGAGGACATAAAGGAGTCAAGCTGGTCAGGGCCGTAAATGTTAAGCTAAGGAGTTTGGACTTTTATCTGCTAGGCATTGTGGAGTCAATGAGAGTCTCCATTCAGGGGAGGGCCAAGCAAAACATTTCTGAGGACAAGGCATGGCCAGCAATTTGCAGTTTCTGGAGTAAGGGTCACTGTAGAGGAAGAGAACAACTGGGTAAATAAGCGTACAACTTTAGGGAATTTGAACCTTGAAAAGTAAAGGAATGACAGGGCTTCTTTGGTGGCTCAGTGGTAAAGAATCGACCTGCTAGTGCAGGAGACACCAGTTTGATCCCTGATCCAGGAAGATCTCACATGCCATGGAACAACTAAGCCAGTGCAGCACAACTACTGAGGCTGTGCTCCAGAACCCAGGAGCTGCAGCTACTGAGCCCACACGCCACACTACTGAAACGTGAGTGTCCTAGAGCCTGTGCTCTGCAACAAGAGCCACCACAATGAGCAGCCTGTGCACTGCAGCTAGAGAGTGGCTTCTCTGTGCAACTACAGAAAAGCCCCCACAGCAACAAAGACCCACCACAGCCCAAACAGTAAATAAATAAAATTATTTTTTTAAAGACCATTAAAAAAAGACCTTTAATTAAAAAAATAAAAAAAATAAGAATAAAGGAATGGCAGAAGCCAGTGGAGATTGTACTGACATGGACCTTGAAGTGGGAGGAATTCTAACATGCAAAATAGTCGAGTGATGACAGAAAAGGTCAGAGTTGGCTATCGAGAAACAAATCATGGGTGACCTTGGAGAGAAAGGGATCGGGAAGGGGGTGCTCAGGTTTCCTTTGGAAGGGGTTGCAGAAAGGAGGGTGGGGAGAATATGGAGGCAGCAAGCATGGGCTACTTATATAAGAAGTTGGAGAGTGAGAAAGAGGGAGCTGGAGGGAAGGCTAGCATTAAGATCCTATGCATCTTTTATTTAAAATTTTTACTTCTGCCTATGCCGGGTCTTTGTTGTTTCCCCAGTTGCAGAGGAGGCTACCCTTCGTTGGGTTGCCCGAGCTCCTCGTTGCGGTGGCTTCTCTTGCTGCAGAGCAGGGGCTCTAGGGTGCTTGGACTCTAGCAGTTGTGGTGCACAGGTTTAGTTGCCTCAAGGCATGTGGGATCTTCCTGGACGAGGAATCAAATCAGTGTTAACTGCATTGGCAGGTGGGTTCTTATCCACTGGACTTCCAGGGAAGTCCTGCCTATGCATCTTTGAAGATGAAGGCAAGTGCACCCCAATGTTCATCGCAGCACTGTTTATAATAGCCAGGACATGGAAGCAACCTAGATGCCCATCAGCAGACGAATGGATGAGGAAGCTGTGGTACATACACACCATGGAATATTACTCAGCCATTAAAAAGAATTCGTTTGAATCAGTTCTAATGAGATGGATGAAACTGGAGCCCATTATACAGAGTGAAGTAAGCCAGAAAGATAAAGACCATTACAGTATACTAACACATATATATGGAATTTAGAAAGATGATAACGATAACCCTATATGCAAAACAGAAAAAGAGACTCAGATGTATAGAACAGGCTTGTGGACTCTGGGAGAAGGCGAGGGTGGGATGTTTCAAGGGAACAGCATCATGTATATTATCTAGGGTGAAACAGATCACCAGCCCAGGTTGGGTGCATGAGACAAGTGCTTGGTGCACTGGGAAGACCCAGAGGGATCGGGTGGAGAGGGAGGTGGAAGGGGGGACCGGGATGGGGAATACATGTAAATCCATGGCTAATTCATTTCAATGTATGACAAAAACCACTGCAATGATGTAAAGTAATTAGCCTCCAACTAATAAAAATAAATGGAAAAAAAAAAAAAGAAGATGAAGGCAAAAGAGCCAGAGGAGATAGAAGAGGCCAGGCAATGGCCTGTTGGTAGAGCAAGGTGTCTGGATACCTGATGAGCTGCTTAGATAAGGGAACTCTCACCTGAAGGACCTGAAGGAGAAGATATAGAGGGAATAAAATATAGGTAATATTCAGGGGGTGGAACAGTCCAGTTGGGATAATAATAAAGATAACTCTGTAAATACTGAGTAGTTACTATGTGCTTGGTATTGTACTAACACTTTTAATCCTCACACAGCAAAATAACAGAAGAGAATGAGATCAGTTCTGAAGAGCCAAACTAAAGATTTAGAAGTAAAGAGTGAACAAGGAGTGAGATGAACAGGAAGATCAGTCTGGAGGCAACATACAGGTTGGATTTAGGGAGAAAGACTGGAGGCAGAGGTAGTTGGTAGAGGCTGCAATAATAGCTCAGTGAAGATGGAGAAGAGGAGACAGAATTTGATAAGTAAAAGGGGTAAAGACATGATGGCTGAATCGGTATAGAGGTGAGAGTTTCAGTGGTTTGGTTCTCAACCCTAGTTTTGAGTCCCTAGGAGTCAAGTTGGAGCCTTGAACATGGCTTGGGGAAGGAAGTATGGAAAGTGAGTATACTAGATGTCATCCATTTGTCCCATCCAGGTCCACATTTCATCCTTCTCTACTCTGTTCTGTGCCCTGTGAGGTTGACTCATATGGCCTGCGTCAGTGGATTCCCTTGGGCTCTGGTTTCTGTTTGTATTTCACCAATGGGAGGATGTTATGGGTTAAATTGTGTCCCTCACCCCCAAATTTATATGTTGGATACTTAAGTCCCAGTACTTCAGTTCAGTTCAGTTCAGTCGCTCAGTCGTGTCCAACTCTTTGCAACTCCATGAATCACAGCATGCCAGGCCTCCCTGTCCATCACCAACTCCTCAAACTCATGTCCATCAAGTCGGTGATGCCATCCAGCCATCTCATCCTGTGTCATCCCCTTCCCTCCCAGCATCAGGGTCTTTTCCAGTGAGTAAACTCTTTGCATTAGGTACTTCAGAGTGTGAACTTATTTAGAAATAGAGTCACTCCAGAATATAATTAGTTAAGATGAAGTCATTTGGGTGGGCCCTAATCTAATATGCAGAGAAGGCAATGGCAACCCACTCCAGTATTCTTGCCTGGAAAATCCCATGGACGGAGGAACCTGGTAGGCTGCAGTCCATGGGGTTGCTGAGTCGGACTCGACTGAGCGACTTCACTTTCACTTTTCACTTTCATGCATTGGAGAAGGAAATGGCAGCCCACTCCAGTATTCTTGCCTGGAGAATCCCGGGGACATAGGAGCCTAGTGGCTGCCGTCTATGGGGTCGCACAGAGTCGGACACGACTGAGGCAACTTAGCAGCAGCAGCAGCAATCCAATATGACTTGCGTCCTTATAAAATGGAGAAGTTTGGACACACACACATGAAAGAGAGAACGCCATATGAAGATGAAGGCAGAGGAGAGGAGGAGAGGCCTAGAAACAAGTCTAGGAACACCAGGAAAGCCCCAGAAGCGAGGGGAGAGGAATGGAACAGATTCTTTCTTACTGCTCTCAGAGGCAACCAACCCTGCTGAAACCTTGAATTTCTAGCCTCCAAAACTATGAGACAATAAATGTCTGTTGTTTGTGATATTCTGTTAGGGCAGTGCTTGCAAACTAATACAGAGGGGGTCAAAGGGTGGTGTTGGAGGGAGGGGGGAACAGGCAGGAGCTATTTGTTCCCCTGGCTCCATTACTGTTACATCCCCACAAGCTGGCTGCAGCTCTCTGCCACAGCTCCTGCCAGGCAGCCCTCTCTGTAACCACTCTCTCCTGCGACCCCTTGATAACCAGGGTGGGGAGGGGTGGACACCACCTCCCAGCTGCTGTTAGCCCCAGGATGCTGCACTATTCCTTGATCTTTTTCCTAAATCCTGCCCCATCTTTGTAAATATGCCCTATATTAAACTCTCATCCAGATACCCAGACTGAGTGTGTGTGTGTCATCTATTTCTGCCAAGACTCTGACTGATACACTGGGTATGTTTGGAGTCAGCAAAAAATATCATTTGTTTGAGAATTTGAATGGGTCAGGAATCCATAATCAGAATGGCCTAAGCATATTTACCACTGTATATGAATGGTGTAGAGGATGAGAGAGGTTGGCATGGGATGAGGTGGCATTGTCCAGAAAGATTTCCTTCATTTAGAAAACATTTATTGGAGGCCTGCTATGGTGAATCAAGCACTACTCTAGGTGCTTAGGGGGTAGGGGACGGGGAGAGGCAGATGAATCAGCGCCCTTGCCCTCAAGGAGCTCACAATCTAGTAGTGGAAGACAGACATGCAAACAGTTATTTGCATAAAGCATTTCAGGTGCTATAGTAAAAGTCTGGGCTGGAGATAAGAGCTTTAGAATGGTCAGCATGTAAGAAAGGTTATGAGAGCAGATGGGTCGGAGACTGTTAAGAATTGACTCTTAAGTGACTGCAATAATTAAGGAGTGGAAGATAAGCCAAGATAAGAGATTAGGAGGGAAAAATTACTATAGTCTAGTCGAGATATCTCAAATATTTTGTCCTAGTCGGCACTATGTCGGCAATGCTGCTGACATTAACCTGGGAACCTCTTTCACTGTGCTTTACTTAGAATATCTCACTAAATGCTCTTTACAACTCTATAGCATTCTGTATTATCCCTATTTTATAGATGAGAAAATTAAGGCTCAAAGATTTTGAGTTATTTATTCAAGGTCACACAGCTAGCAAGTGGGAAAGATAGGAATTGAACTTAGCTCTGACACCACAGAGTTTATGCTGTCAACTATCAGTATACTCAGAGAAGCCCAAGCAGAGCCAGGAGAGATGGTGATGCATCCAAGCCATAGAGGAGAGAATTTAAAGGAGAAATAAGTAGTCACCACGACAAATGCCAACAGAGAGATTAAACAGGTTGAGGATTAACAAGATCTGATTGGATCTTGTGATGAGAAAGCTTGAGGGGAGCTTTGCCTTAGTAGTTTCATTAGCAGAGTGGGAGCAGGAGAATAAATTGCAGCAGTCTGAGGAGCAAATGGGAGCTGGGAAGTGGAGACTCCTTTTCAAGGACTTTGCCAATAAAGAGCAGAGAGAAAGGAGGTGAAAGCTAGAGGAGCTTAGTCGAATGAACCTTGCCTGAGGAGAAAGGGTCCCAGATTGATGCCAGCAGCAGTGGTGAAAAGTCAGTGTTATGAAGTCCAGCCAGAAGGGTAGTCAACAGGGAAGAACGTGAGATCTGAGACGGTTGTTGTTGGGATGGGATGGGTTAGGAAGTTCAGGAGGGAGGACTAGAGAGTTTGGATCTGTCCAGGGTACTGGGAGCGAGGGACCTGCCAGCAGCTGAGTGGTAAGTAGGAATGGTTGGCAATGTGAGTGGTACAGTAGGACCCTGGCTCAGCCACTGGTGGGCACACAGACAGGGGCATGGTCCCCAGGCAAGAAGGCTGCAATCCTCGGTAGTCCAACTGGGCCTGGGAGGAACACAGGGGCAAGGGAGCCTTCTCTGAGGATCTAGGTAGAATTTCAAGGAGGCTGGGTTCCACTTCCTCATAGACATCTGAGACTGCAGCCTTGGGCTGGGAGAGATGGGGGGAAAGGGGTCTGGATTAGAGCAGGTCCTGTGGGAGCAGGACCTGGACTGTGCAGGAAGGAGGGTTGGGCTGGAGGTAGGGCCCAGGGATGGTATACTTGTGGGGCAAGAAGTTGTGTGATGGGGCAAGGAGCTCTAAGCAGGGCTGGTGGTGGGGGGAGGTGCACTCACCGGACTCAGGGCTGCAGTATCCCTAAGGTACTGGCCAAGGACCCGGTGTAGGTCTGGAAGTGAGGGCCACAGAGCATGCCTCAGGCTCCTTGAGGAGAAGGAAGAGAAGGAGATTGAGCTGTGGGAGTGAATTAGGGGGGCGAGAGCACTAAGGTGTGTGTGGGGAGGCAGTGAGGTGGGGGAGTAAGCTTGAAGAGTAAGGTAGAGGAGCACGGGTGGAAAGGAAACCTCAGGTGGTGGGGGGAAGTCAGGGGTGTGGAGCCTCAAAAAAGCAGTCTGAGTGTCCTCAAACATTCTTGCCTCAGGGTCTTTGCACTTTCTATTCTCTCTGCCTGGATCATCGACTCATTTCCTCATTTTACTTAGGTTTCTGCTCAGATGTCATCCCGACAGAGAGGCCTTCCCTGACTACCCTGTCTAAAATAGAACCACCTCCCTTCCCCATCACTTTTTGTCTCCTGCTCTGCTTATTATTCTTTATAGTACTTGACTTATTGTATATTTATTAGAATCTTAATTTATATATATAATGTAAATCCCCGAGAGCAAAGGGTTTGTCTATTTGCTCACTCTTGGATCTCCAGGGTATAGAACAGTATCTGACCCATAATAGATTCTCAAGAAATTAGTTGAATGAAGAGAACTCATGGGGCTTTTATTAAGTTACTGGGGAAGATGGTCTCCCTGGGAAGAATGTGGATTAAGGTAAATGGGGGGACCCTCCAGTTCCTTAGGCTCATATTTCCGCAAGGAAGGACTTTAGCTGAATGACGCTTTGGGCCTCTTCTTTGTTCTTTTTTTTTTTCCAGTCGAGCCTCTTCTGTGACCACACGTATATCTCTCCAGGGGAGGAGGAGTGATGTATCTGATAAATTGTGGGAAAGGGACTGAGTACATCTGGGTCAGCAGCACAGCCTCCCTCTTCTCCCTCAACCTTTTTGCTGGATCTAGATACAGGCTACATCCCAGTCTGCTCATACATTAGAGAGGATTAAAAGCTCAAAGTCATGTTCAAGGAGAGATGTGAGCCCAAAAGAGGGGCATCTAATCCAGCCTAGGGCCATCAAAAGAGGCCGCCTGGAGGAGTCACCTTCTGAGCTGAGTCCTCAAGAATACAGAGGTGTTACCAGTCAAAGGACTGAGGTGGTATGGAATCTATCCTTTATGTTTATAACTTCCAGTGACATTTATCCTCAGACTTAGTCTTCCCACATAAACAACTCATTCATTAACAGCATTTATTTAAGGGTGTGCTATTTGGCAGGCACTGTGCTGAAGATTTAAGGATGACCACGTAAGGCACAGGGAAGACATATAAAGAAATGAATGCAGTAAAATGCTTCCTGCACTATGAAAGAAGTCTGTATTGGGGCACAAAAAGAGTAGCCAATAGGAGAGGGTCAGGAAAGGTTTCCTAGGAGTTGGTGAAGAAAGTTATTTAAAGATAAATGGATATTAGTCATCCAGGGAGGATATTCCTGGCAGAGGGGATATTATGTTCAAAGACACTGAGAAGTAAAACCACTGGATTTGTGGAGGAAATCACCGACAGTGTGGCAAGGCTGATGCACAGGGCGGGAGGTGGGAACGCCGGCAGGGGCACAGCCTCGCTTGTTACTCTAGAGCCTGGACTTTATCCTGGGGAGCTCATAGTGAAACTTAAGGAGGCGGAGTGACAAGTTCATGTGCGCCGTTTTAGAAAGATTATTCTGATGGCTGTGTGAGGCTAGACTGGAGGGAGAAGGGGCTCCGTTTTGGTGAGTCGGGTCGTGCCTGTAGGGCTAGAGAGAGTGTGCTGGTTTTGAGTGAAGTTTAGGAGGTGGAATGACAGGACCAGACTGGATAATGGGGAGGGAGGCGCCCAAGTGGTCTGGCTTGGGTGACAGGTGGACTTGTTACTGAGATGAGGAGCCAGAAGGTGGGGCTGTTTGAGGCGTCCCGCATAGTGGACATGTTCGAGTGTAAGGAGGCGGTGGGACTCCCAGGGAAGACGTGCGGGGGCGGCAGATGCCACAGGTCTGGATGCGAGATTGTCTGGAGAGCGGGCGTCATAGAGTGACCCGAGGATGCTTCTTTAGGGGCCGCCGGCCTTGCCGGATCACAGCCCCGTCTCCCGCCTGGCCGGAGCGGTACCTGTAGTGCGCAGGAAATTGCCACCTCAGCAGCAGCAGGCCCAGGAGGGCGCTGACGCCCAGGACCAGCAGCAGAGCAGTCACCAGGAAGATCCAGACTAAGGGACAAAAAGCAGTCAGCCCTCAGGGGGAGGCGCCTGGCCAGAACCCTGCTGGCAGGCCCACCAGCCCCACCCCACTCGCTGTCCCTGGCGCCGGGTGTGTCTGCGCAGTCGGAGCCCCGCCCCTCCACTCGCGCAGGCGCAGAGAGCTTTTGCCCCTCCCCAGCCCTCACCCGTCTCGGAGGCCGTCTCCACCCTCACTGGGTCGGACCAGGAGCTCCAGGGACCTTGGAAGGTGGGGCCGTGGAGCCTGGCGCGCAGCTGTACGCGGTAGCGGGAGCGCGGGCGCAGCTCCAAGGTCTCTCCCTGGGCTCCAAGAGGTGGCTCCAGCACCTACGCAAAGGTGCAAGCGGGCGGTCAGGCTCCCGGTCTCTGTGGAACGGCGTTGGGCCCTGGAGAACTCGACCTCTGTTTGACCCCAGGGCTACCGCTTTGAATCCCCGGGGATCCCTCCAAAGCGCCTCACTGGCAGAAAACACGCATCCCTGGCGGAAACCGGCTGGAGAGAACACTCGGACAGAGAGCCTCGCCCCGCCTGGCGTGTTACACCCCCGGCACACTGACTCATCCACACACAGAACTACTCATCCTGACACATACATACGATAACATCGGCAGAGATCCGGTACACACACACTGACCAGGTTGGGCGATGGAAACTCCGGACACACTCAGATACTCAGAGCCATGTAAGTGAAGTTGCTCAGTCGTGTCCGACTCTTTGCGAGCCCATGGACTGTAGCCTACCAGGCTCCTCGGTCCATGGGGTTTTCCCGGCAACAGTACTAGGGTGGGGATCTCCAGGGGATCTCCCGACCTAGGGACTGAACCCGGGTCTCCTACCTTGCAGGCAGACCCTTTAACGCCTGAGCCACCAGGGAAGCCTATAGCCATGTAAACCAGGCTACAAATAACATCCTCTCAGTAGAGGATGCCAGAACTGTGCTAGGTGCTGGGGATACCAGGAGAGTCCAAGAAGAAGGAAGAAACATCGTGTATATCAGCAGGGAGACATTATTAACTTGATCAGTAGTAAACATTTATGAACTGCTTGTGACAAGCCAAGCCCTGGGGTAGGCATTGGGGAAAAAGAAAAACAAGGCCTCACATGTCTTATGAAGAAGGCATCCAAACAAGTAAATAGTTACAAGAAGTAATGAGTGCAGTAATAGCAATATAAGTAAGGTACCACAGAGCCCTCAAAAGAGTGTTACCCTGAGTGAGTTGCTTGATTGCGGGTTATAGAGTGTTCTGTGTACTAAAAGCATGCATGGGTGGGCTAGAGGGTCAAAGATAAGACCAAAACAGTGGTAGTAGAGACTTGAGGCCTATTAGTACAATAAACTCAACTAAGTTGTTGATAGCAGGAAGGGACAAGGGAAAAGGAGAGATGAGTCAAGGATAATTCCGGGCTGAAGTAACTGGGTTAAGTGTTGGTGCCATTGTCAGAGACAAGGAACAGGAGAAGTAAGTTTGAAGAAGAAATGCTGTATTTTTTTAAATTTTATTAAGTTCAACAATAGCCAGAACTCATGAATGGTAATGCCAGAATTGTAGTTACCTTGGAGGGTGTGTGTGTGTGACCAGAGGGCATGAGACACTTATGGGGTACCAGAAACAACCTTTATCTTCATCTGGGTAATGGTTACATGGATGTATGCACATGTACAAATTAACCAGTTGTATGTTTAAGATTTGTGTTACTTTATGTAATGTATACCTCAGTAAAAAAGTAAAAAAGTCTGGGGAAGAAAATAAGTTCAGTTTTGGTTATACTGAGTCTGAAATGTCCTAGGGGGTTTTCAGGTAGAACTGTATGGTAAGAAGTCATATATACGTGTGGTAGATGAGAATAAAAGTAGAGAAAGAAACTAATATTTAATGTCTACTGAGTGCCTTCTATCCCAGGCAATATGCTAAATATCTATATATTTAATTTTCACTATAACTCTGGAAAGTACATAGCTTTATCCCCATTTCACCAGTGAGGAAACAGACTCTTCAGAAGTTTAGGTAATTCACCTATGGTATAGAAGTTATTTTCCACATAGGTGTTGGAATAAGTTTGGGATGGTTAATATGTAGTCATTGAAAATATGGAATTGAAGCGCTCACCAAGGAGAAAATCTAGATGTTGGTAAAGAATCTGCCTTCAATGAGGGAGACCTGGGTTCCATCCCTGGGTCAGGAAGATTCCCCTGGAGAAGGGAAGGGCTACCTACTCCAGTATTATTGCCTGGAGAACTCCATGGACAGAGGAGCCTGTTGGGCTACCGTCCTTGGGGTTGCAGAGTCAGATATGACTGAGCAACTAACACTTTCAGAGAAGAAAAGAGTCTAGGATGGGAATTCAGGAAGCACAACCTATTAAGGGAGCGTGGAAAGGAAGAGCCCGGGAAAGAGTGAGGAGGTTCAGTCGGAGAAGTGGTAGGAGAATCAGGAGAGAATGATATCCCAAAAGCAAAGGGAAGAGGACATTTTAAATAGGCATAGTCTGCAGTGTCACATGCCAAAGAGAGATTAAGATGCCAGTTGAATCAGACAGAACAGAGATAAACAAGCCCAGACACGGATACACATGAGTATATAGTGATATCTTGGTTATCACTCCTGATAACAGACATCCTGAAACTCAGAAATACCCTGCGTATGAGGTCTGGGGTCATTTGTTCCTTGACTGTACCTTCCAGTCCTGATGGCCTTCTCCTGTGTATCGGAGCTGATAGCAGGTCTCTTGGGCTGCCCAGGCTGATGGATGCTGCCATTCCAATTCCAGCTGCCCACTGGAGACCTCCCTCCAGTGCAAGTTTGGAGTGGGGATGAGCACTACAGGGATGTCACCAGGGACTGGCCTAAGCCCTTCTGTGCATGAGACATCATGTCACCAGGGCCATGGGTCAGAAGTATCAGGGTTGGTGATCCTGGGCATGGGGTCAGACATGGTAGGGGTGGGAAATGTGTGGGAGGAGAAGGGAAGAAAGTCCTTACCAGCCTGATGGATCCAGAAAGGGGAGCCCAGGTAGCTGTGAACAGCACCCTGGGCTGTGGTCACCTCCACAAGGATGTGAATAGCACTGTCATTTTGTGACTTGAAGTGACAGCGGGAGAACTGGGAGGACTGTGATCCCGCGTTTTTCTCCTCTTCACACTTCTCCCAGACGGGGTTCCTACAAATCAGGCAAATAGAGTCATTTGATTCAATGCCTGCTTCAGAGACTAATCTAGTCTCACAGGGAATTAGATTCTAATCTAACTTGTTCCTTGGACAGGCCTCCAGGGCTTTCTCTCTCATGCCATGTATTTTTTTCTGAGGTTTGCTTTGGGGTTCAGCCTCTTCTTCTTAATAAAGAGGGAGGGGCTTCCCTGGTGGCCCAGTGGTTAAGAATCTGCTTTCCAATGCAGGGGATGGAGGGTTGATCCCTGGTTGGGGAACTAAGATCCCACATGCCACAGGGCAACTAAGCCTGTGAGGAGCAACTAGAGAAAAATCCCATGTGCTACAACAGAGACCCAGTGCAGCCAAAATAAAGCTAGATGAGATAGGGAAATAACATGGGCTATAGAGTTCAGGTCTTGGCTTATTGGCATAAAACTCTGGGCAAACTACTTGATTTTCATCTCTGCCTCAGTTTCCTCATTTGTGAAATGAGTCAATAATACCTACTTTGAATGGGATTGTTTCAAAGAGTAAAGCAAAACATATGTTTCTGGAGCAAAACGTATTTATGTTCTTAATCTATTCTCATTAGGGAGCCTTCTTAGTCACCTCTAAGTGTTATTTTACTAACAGATTATTGTGACAGTCTCCTAACTGGCTTTTCTGCCTCTGTTTCTGTTACTCCCTTCAATTTGTTCTCCACACAGCAATCAGAATTTAGACCCAAAATGTTGATCTGATGGTGTCCAGAATATATGTCAAAGCTATGCCTTTATTTTGACCTTTATTCCTGTCACATTATCTGTTGCCTGGATTAAGGCATATTTCTAAATGGTGATCCTGCTTCCACTCTTACTTCTTTTTAATTGCACAGAGAAACATCTTTTAAAAATATAAATGCTTTAGCAGCACATATGCTAAAATGGGAATGATACAGAGAAGATTAGCATGGCCTCTGGGCAAGGATGACTTGCAAATTCATGAAGCATTTCATATTTTTTAAAACGAATTTATGGTTTCCAGGGGCAAGGGATTGTTAGGGAGTTTGGGATGGTCATGTATACACTGCTATATTTAAAATAGATAACCGCAAGGAACTATATCTCTGCCCAGTGTTATGGGGCAGCCTGGATGGGAGCAGGGTTTAGGGGAGAATGGATACTTGGATATATGTATGGCTGAGTCCCTTTGCTGTTCACCTGAAACTATCACAGCATTGCTAATTGGCTGAACCTCGATACAAAATAAAAAGTTTAAAATGAAAAAAATGTAAATCATATGGTGTCACACTCTTTTCTGACCCCATGGACTGTAGCCTGCCACGCTCCTCTGTCTAAAGGATTTCCCAGGCAAGAATACTGGAGTGGGTTGCCATTTCCTTCTCCAGGGGATCTTCTTGACCCAGGGATTAAACCCGCTCTTGACTCGGATTAAACCCGCATCTCCTGCATTGCAGCTGGATTCTTCACCTACTGAGCCACCTGGGAAGCTCATATCATATAACTCTTGCTTAAATCCTTCCATGGCTCCCCATCCCAAATAAAACCCAAACATCACCCCAGAGCCTATAGGACTTCATATGGTTGAGTTCCTCCCTGCCTTGCCATTCTCATCTCCTACAAGTCTCACACAAGGTGATGACACTTCATCCACATGGGCCTTTTCTCTGTGCTGCAAACATACCAGATCCACTGTCCTTACAGCTCATCTTGCCATGGATTGCCCTGCCTCTAGATCCCACGTGACTCATTTCTTCTCGCCATATGGGTCTCAGCTCACCTGTCACCTCCTTGGCAAGGCTTTCTCCACCCACTCATGAAATTAGCACCCATCCCCACGCTTCCACGTAGTCTCTATCATTTAACCTTGCTCCTTTCTTTCTTGTTGGTCTCCCCACAATGCTGGAAGCTTCTCTGTTTTGTCACTCTATCCCTGGAGGCTGGTACATAGTTACCTTCAACAGTTGTTTATTGAACAAATAAATCCTGTCTCCTTCCTGGTTATAACCCCTAAATAGCTAGCTATTACTAAAATCATTTACCATTTTATGTATTTTTATGTTTACTATGTTATTCAGCAAATAATTTATACTATGTGCTAGGTACTATAAGGAAAAATTTTCAAGGAGCTGTCATTTCATTGGGAAAGGGAGAAAAACAGATGGTATTTTTCTGTGATGTGCACAGGCTGGCTTGGGAGTAGCAAGGAAGGTCATCTGCCCCAAATGGGGAGGGTCAGAAAATAGTTCTTGTACAAGGCAGTGCTTAGAATGAGTCTTGGACTATAAATAGGAAAGCAAAGGGTACAAACAGGCACCCCAGGCACATGCTTGTGCACAGATAAGAGAGACGGCATTTGGGGGAAACTCTTAAGTGGTGCAGAAAATTTTTAGCACAGAGGGCTTAGTGGGTAGTGGTAAGTGTGGTCAGATCAAGGCCACAGGTGGCCTTATTGCCTTTCTAAGGAGCTTGAGCTTAATCTTGCAGTAACAATGGAGACATTCAAGGAATTTAAGCAGAGAGTTGTTATCACTAGCTTTGTACTTTAGGAAAGTCTAACTGCAGTTTGTGAGAAAGGATCTGTAAGGGTGGACTAGAAGCTGAGAAATTTATTAGGACAAAGTCATGATATTTTACCTGCAAAGTGATGAGGATCTGAAAGTAGGATTTTGGCAGTGGGAGTAGAGAGAAACAGATGGACTCAAAGGGGATACTGAAAAGGTCGAAATAACCAGTATTTCTGATTGGATGTGGAGGGTGTAGAAAAGGCAGAAGTTCAGGGTGGAAAACGGAGTTGATGGCAGGATGGACAAGAAGAGGAGAAGCAGGTTTTGACAGAGAGTATGTGAATTTGGTTTTGCCACCCTTTCCTTCATGGCCCTCTTCATACTATGGAAATCTATACAGCTATTAGAAAGAATGAGTTACATCATTACAGATGTCCAAGACACATTTTTAAGTAAAAAAGTAAGTTAAAATAAATCATACAGGGCTTCCCTGGTGACTCAGTGGTAAAGACTTCACCTGCCAACGCAGGAGAGACAGGTTCCACCCCTGTTCCAGGAAGATCCCACATGCCGTGGAGCAACGATGCCCGAGTGTCACAACTACTGAGCCTGTGCTCTAGAACCCACGTGCTGCAACTACTGAAGCCTGCCTGCCCTGGAGCTCATGCCCCAAACAAAACAAGAGAAGCCACTGCAATGAGAAGCCTGAGCACGGCAATGAAGAGCAGCCCCCAGTCGGCACAACTAGAGAAAAGCCCAAGCAGCCACAAAGACCCAGAGCAGCTAAAAATAAATAAATAAAATTATTAAAAAAAAATCATACATATAATGTGATCCAATTTATATTGAAAATTAAATATTACGTTTGCTGCTGCTAAGTCACTTCATTAGATATGTGTAAATGCATAGAAAACTGGAAGAATACACTAAAACTGTTAATAGTGTTTTTTTTCATTATTCAATAATTTTTTTTTTTAAACTGAGCACCTACTCTGTTCTAGGCACCATGGTAAGTGAGAATACATTGGTAAGTAAAAGCAGACACTGACTTTGCCCTCATGGATCATGTTAGGATCAGCCTTTCTCAACGGAGTTCTGAGAGAGAATTTTGTTATCAATCAAATAACCATGTAAGGTATAAATGTAAAATTATAACTATGTTAAGTATTTAAGAAGGAGAGGTACATGGTACAACAAGGATATATAAATAGTGCCACTGTACCTAAGAAGGAAGGTCAGGGATGGTGACATTTGAGTTGAGATCTGAAGGATAAGTAGAGGTTAAGTAAAGATAAACAATCTGGGTAAACAGCATGTACAAAGATCCAGAGGCAGGAGGGATTGTGGCAGGTAGGAGGGAATGAAAGTAGGCCTTGGAGCAGAGCACAGAAGGCAGCATCAGTTCAGTTCAGTCGCTCAGTTGTGTCCGACTCTTTGCGACCCCATGAATCGCAGCACGCCAGGCCTCCCTCTGAATAAGATAAAGTTGAAAGCACAGATAGAGGCTGAGTCTTTTAGAACTTTACATGGTCACAATAGAATTCTTTTCTTTGTCCTAAGATCAGTGAAAGCTATGGATCTTGGAATAGTTTTAAGCAGAGAATGTTGCATTTATTTTTATGCTTTTAAAAACTCACTTCAGCTCCTGTGTAGAGAATGTTTTGGAGGATCCAAGAGGTGATCAGTTAGTAAGTCTTCTCAGTAACCTAACTGAGAGATGAAGATGGCTTGTACTAGGGTGATAGCTGTGATGGACAAACATGGACAGATTCTAGAGATGTTTAATAGGTAAAATCAACAAGGTTTGGTTATATATTAGATATGAAGGAGGTGACAGATCAGTGAGGTGTTTGGTTGAAATGCTTGAAGACCAGGTGAAGGTTTGATTGGATCCAATAAATAGTGAAAAGTTGCAGTACATTTTTGAGTAGGAGAAGGCCATGCAAATTTTAAGAAAGGTCAGTTCGTCAACAGCATGCAGGGGTAGGTAAATTGGAAGTGATTGAGAATGTAGGCTGTTGTAATGGTCCAGGTGACATGATTGTTGTTACTACTGCTACTGCTAAGTCACTTCAGTCATGCCCGACTCTGTGCGATGCCATAGACGGCAGCCCACCAGGCTCCCCTGTCCCTGGGATTCTCCAGGCAAGAACACTGGAGTGGGTTGCCATTTCCTTCTTCAGTGCATGAAAGTGAAAAGTGAAAGTGAAGTCACTCAGTCGTGTCCGACTCTTAGCGACTCCATGGACTGCAGCCTACCAGGCTCCTCCATCCATGGGATTTTCCAGGCAAGAGTACTGGAGTGGGGTGCCATTGCCTTCTCCAGGTGACATGATTACATGGAATTAAACCAACATATTCCCAGGGGGTATGAAGAGAGGTTGAAAGGATACAATAACCATTGATGGACGAGAGCATGGAGGGCCTTTGGTTTGGGGAATAAGGGAGGGGACTGAAGAGGATCAAGGACAATCTCTCCCTTCTTTCTGCAGAGTTGTGCTTCTCTCCCATGACATCAAACTCAATCAGCGGTTCACTTCTCACCTGTCTCTGGGACAGCACTGTGCCCCGCTGTGGTAGAAGAAGCCTCGGGAGCTGGCATGGTCCAGTTGTTGCCACTGACAGGTAACATTCATCAGGTCCAAGGTAAAGCATTGTAGTCCAATTTCCCCTGGGGTCAGAGAAGGAGAGATCCCCTGGAGGAGGGTATGGCAACCCACTCCAGTATTCTTGCCTTGAGAATCCCATGGACAGAGGAGCCGGATGGGCTACAGTCCATGGGGTAGCAAAGACTGAGCATGGATGTGGAGAAAGAAGCCCTGTCAGAGCCCACGTGCTCTGACTCCATTGGGTATCCAGATCATCTTTACACATGTAACTTGAACATTTGCTCCTATCCTTTCTTCTCTCCCTGAATAGAATTCATCCTGTGCAGTAGCAAGTTTGAGATCATCAGGAAGGACCATGGTTCTCTGAGCTTCCATATCTAGCCCATGCATCGCTAGAGATCTTTTCTGTCTCCTCCTCCACTCCCCTGTTGACTCACCTGCGTTGCCAGGCAGGTCCACAGTCACAGGGAGGGACCAAGATCCCCAGGAACCACGGAGAGAGACTCCGTCAGGTTGGCTGCGTAGCTGGAGCCAGTAGGAGTTACCAGGCTGGAGTCCTGAGATGAGGCAGCTGCCACCCTTCATTGTCAGAGATGGAGCCTTGGGAGAAGAATCCCAACCTCACAATCTAGGTCTGCCTCTCAGCCAAGAGAGCCTACATCTCTTATATTTGAAGCCCCACAACATGCCTGTGGAGAGAGACTCAGTTCTTCACTGGATAAATACGTGCACAGACTGGGGGCCAGGTCGGTGGGTTTCAGGTGGAGTTCAGGGCTTTTTAGGTTTCCCTGGTGGCTCAGACGGTAAAGAATCTGCCTGCAATGTGGGAGACTCGAGTTTGATCCCTGGGTTGGGGAAGATCCCCTGGAGAAGAAAATGGCAACCCACTCCAGTATTCTTGCCTGGAGAAACCCACGGACAGAGGAGCCTGGTGGGCTACAGCCCACAGGGTCACAAAGAGTCAGAGACAACTGAGTGACTGATACTTTCACTTTCACTTTCAGGGCTTTATAGGGAAACCCCTACTAACCTGGGGACCTGAAGTGCTCAGCTGTGTTGGTCTGAATGACGCAAAGTGGGAGATTCTTAAATAAACATGGCTTCTGAGAACTAATCAGACCCTACGCTAACTCTCTAAGGACCAACCCAGTCTGGAATCCCCAAAGCATGGCCTGTCCTTTCTTGGGGCAAAATTGAGGGTAAGAGATAGGAGGGGAGCAGAAGGAGGTCAGGATACTTCTCTAGTTGGGGAGGTCTGCTCTGGTCCCATCTGTTGAGGCATCATGGGCTGTGCACATGGAGACTGGTCCAGGGTTGCGGCTAGGTTTGGTCTCCGCCGAGCTGGGCAGCAGGTCTCTGCGGACAGCAGCTGTGTGACTGTGGGGCCAGTGGAGTTCCTGGGGTCCTTGGGGCCATAGCGGAGTTCATGCCTCAGAAATTCATTGATTTCAGGAGCTGGGGCCTCCCAGCTGATCTGAAGTTCCCCTGGCTGGCTCCCACCCATGGCCTTGATGAGACTGGGGGGAGTTGGCAGGCCTAAGGGCGAGACAGGGCGCATCAGAACTCTTCGGGTGCTACAGTCTACAGCTCAGCCCACGGACTGTGGAGAGGGTGCTCGAGGCTGGGTTGAGGGCAGCCCCTGGGGCAGGGGCAGGGAGGCTCCTTATCCTGTTCTGTCCTCGGATGAGCAGTGACCTCACCACAGGTTGTTAGGCTCAGTGCTCCTCAAGAGCAGGGACCTCTCCTCATCTGTGCATCCTTGTCCCGAAGCCCAGGGCCTAGCACAGGGTAGGTATTCTGTAAGTGATGAATGAGTGAGTCAATGAATAGGTTAGTGATGGGAAGGTTGTGGTGTCTCTGATGTGAAACGAAGTCTAGCTCTGGACGCTGAGGCTAAGAGGAATGAGAGAGGGGTCTCGAGGTGCCTCTGGGAGTCTGGTAGTGGGGATGCACCCATGTCGTCTTGAAAGAGCACAGCTTGGTCTGATTCTAGGAGCTGGCCCAAGGGTGGCAAACAGAGGGGCCAGGATGACAGGAGGATGGTCCTTACCCACAGCATCCACAGAGAGCACCCGCTGGGTCAGATTCTGGTTCAGAAACACATTCTTCACCCAGAGGTGCAGTTGAGAGAAGAGGCGAACTTCAGCCTGGGCTGGAAACTGGCACACGTATCGGGTTCTAAAGGGCATCACTTGCTGGGAACTCAGGGGGCAGGTGCGGGGCTGCTCCCTGTGGGCACAGAAGTCTGGGCTACCTACATGCTCACCTGTCCCACCCTGAGGACCCAGGTCTGGGCCCAAGCCCAACTTCTGTTTCCATTACCACCATTTTTCTTCTCAGTGCCTGGGATGGGTGGGATTAGGGGGTACATAGGGGCTGGAGCTGGCTGTATCCAAAGCACCTCTGTTCATTAAGTGGCTACTTCGGCCTCATACTTGGACTAGTCCTCTGACAGGGCCAAAGGCAAGGAAGCTGCTAGAATAGGGCTCAGCTGCAGTATGCACAGGACAGATATGGGGAGTGGTGTATACACATGATACATATATAGGATACATATGATGCAACACATACCCCGGGTAGGCATAGAGCAGCTGATACATTTCACTGGATGCTCCCTCTTCCTCATCCCAGAAGCAAGTGAGGTCCTCAAATGTTCGAGAGAAACAGTTCAGGGACTCTGAGTCCGAGGCCAGCAAGGAGGCATCTGAGGAACAGCTGGTGAGTTGGGCTCCCGGTCCTCACCAGCATGTTTGTGGGCAAGAGTAGGGGACCAGTGGGGGCCTCCCACTTTGCACTTCCCTCCCCCCCTCCACCCGCCCAGGGCTCCATCTTCCTGGGTATGGGTGTTTGCTACCCTCCACACACCTCACCTTGGCTGGTGACTTGTGCCAGGTTTTGGGGGGCCGGGAGGAGGTAGGAGATGACCGCCAAGAGGGCCCAGGAGGGCATCTTCTCCGGCACTGGGTGCCTGCCTCAGCCCATCCTCCCTTCAGGAAGCTGGGCCCCAGTCCCCTCCCGGGCCAGCCCCTCAGGTTCCTGTCAGATACAGCCCCACGTCCTGTCCCTGTCCCTGCCCCTGTGGGGCCCATCCAGACCACACTGGGGCTGGGGGCCAGGGGAGGGGGTGTGGGAGTGGGCCGGAGGGGAGGAGGAATTTGAAAGGGAGGATACAGGCCTTTCAGTAAGAGAAAGATGGGGGGTTGCATTTTTTTTTCCTAACCATGTACCAGAAGCAGAGTAAGGCTCTGTGCGGGTCCACGTTCACTTAGGCATATTATGAACAGCACACACTTACTGAGTGCTGTTCACTGTGCTGCCACGTGTTAGGCACTTTTTATCCACTGACTCAGCGAATCCTCATAATAGCCTTATTATTTCCATTATGTGATGGGGAAACTGGAGATGCAGACAAATTGAAGATTTGCCTAAGACGACACACCTCCTAAGAGGTAAAACTCAGGACATCAAGCTTTAGAACCCAAGTGTTTAACAACCATGCCAGTGCCTCTGGAAGGTGAAATCCACCAAAAGATGATTGTCTGCCTTGCGGTGGTGGCTTTCCACTTTAATATGTTCTGTCACTTTGTGCACAAATAAACATGTTCTCCTTGGAACTGGACAGCCCCCTCCACTATGGGGAGCCTCCACAGCCGCCTTTCATCCTTTTGCTACTCGGAATGTGGTCCATGGACCATCAGCAAAAGCACTACCTGGGAGTTTATTAAAATGCAGACTCTTGGGCCCCGCCCCAGACCTTCTAAAGCAGAATCTGCACTGTCCCCAAATCCCCAGATGATGTGAATACATATTAAAGTTTGAGAAACTCTGGGCTTCAGTGCTTTTATCTGGTTGGCTCAGAATCAAGGGATGGTAGGTCTCAGCTCTCCAGCTCTGGCTCATCTTCACATTAGTGGTGGAAGAGTTGGTGCAATCCCTTCTCTGACACCCAAGTCCTCTCCTGCGACTGTTGTAACTGTAGTGGCTTTTGTGCCAACTCTCAGGAGCTTTGACTCTGGCAGGGCATGGGGCCAGGGCAGGCCATGGTAACTTCCCATATTTAACTCCTCCAACCTCACTTGGGGCTCCCCTCACTGGCTTTACAGACTGAGTATCCTTCTTTCTTCCTCCTGAATTAATGTTATTAACGGAGTGTTGTAGGGGAGGGGTAGGAGGATTGTAGGATGTGAAAACTTCAGCCTCACCTGTGAGGTCTTAGCTTCTCTTGCATCACTTCTCTGCAAGAAGTCCCTGAGGCCAGGGTTGCCCTGATTCCTGTCCAGCTCTCAGGTTCCATGGGACCACCTTCCTCTGCCCAATGGAGATGACATTGGATGCCTCTCCCAGCCCCCAAGCAAGGGGCACCAAATTTGTTGGGTCAAGTGAGAGGGGAAGTCAACATTAGAGTTGATGATTTCAAAATTAATGTCTCTAGCTGTGACTCCCCCTCCTGGGCTCCAGATTTGGATCACCAATTGCCTACTTCGAATCTCTACTTCCATGTCTAATGGGCATCTTATACTTAGGATGGCCAAAATAAAACTCTTGAGTCTGGCTTCCTCCTTACACTTTTTTTGTTTCCTCTAGTATTACCTACTCTGTAAGTGGCATCACCATATACTCAGTTGATCAAGCACCAAATCTCAGTACTCCTTGATTCCTATCTTCCTCTTACCCTACATTCAAGTTATTAGCAACTCTTGCCAGAAAGTGTTTCAAAATGTACCCTGAACCAGAATGCTTTTTACCACCTGCACTCCTACCACTCTCGTCCCAGTTTGAGTCACTGACAAGCTTCCTAACTGCCTCCACTCTTAATCCCTCCAGCAAATCTTCCATAGAATGGAATGAGATGTTCAAAATACAAATCACATTTCTTTGCTCCCTTGCTTAAAACCCCTAATGCTTCCTACTGCACTTAGATTACCTCCTAAAGACAAGGTCCTGTCTGATCTGATCTCGGCCTACTTAGATCCTAGCACCTACCACTGTCTCCTTCCCTCTGTGTCGGTCACATACCGACATAACCTCGTTGTGTCTCTCGTTTTAATTCTCAGCATGCTCAGCCTTTCTGCAACGCTTGGTACTCCCTTCCTTCCTTGGGTTCTGCAGTGTGTCCCATTCACCTGCTTTCTTCCCACTCCTGTAATGTTCCCTTCTGGTTTCTTTCTTTGCTCCTTCTCTTAAATGTTACTGTTCTAAAGATCTCCTTGCTTCCCCCTTTGTGTTACTAGTTTCTGAGTAGACTCATGGCTTCAGTTCCATGTATAAAATCTACCAGTAACTCCCCAAATCTTAACACTCTTGAACTTCAAGTTTGCAGTTACTTATTAGACATCTTGAGTTGTTCTTCCGTGGGTGCTTCAAGCTCGCTGGGTTCCAAACAGAACTATTCCTACCTGCCTCCTATCTTCCCTTCGTAGTTTTACATCTCCCCGTAGGCAACCTAGTTATATAAGCTTGGAACCTGAGTGTTACCCTCAAGTTTTCATTCTGCCCCCACTCCTGCACGCAGGTCTTACCGAGTCCTGTGAGAGTTAGGGGTGCAGAGACCACAGGACAAGGGGCTTGTTTATGACCATCAGACAGTGGAGTTGGGGCCTGTTTGCTCCTGCATGGAAGGAGGTCCAGCTATCTGTCCCTGTCATCTTCCCACTTTTTTCTACTTCCACGTAGCTGGAGAGAGATGCCTTCCTGGGTCCTTTGCTTTTGTAGAATCTCAAACAAGGACTGGGGTAGCCCTTGGGGAAAGATCGTTTAGGTCTGCAACTCTCTGGTCATAGTCCAGTGGGTCCAGCCCAGATCAGCAGGCCTTGACTTTTCTGTCGGGATATCAAGCCAAAGCCCTGGCCTACAAAAGTCTGTATTTATTCTCTGTGCAGCTGTTCCTGAGGGGACTCAAAGGGTTGCTGGGTGAGGACTGGCTCAGGCAGGTGTGTGCTGTTGATCTGCTCTTTGGCGGGTGGTGGTGGAGGGGAGTCGGGGGCATGGAAGTCCTGTTGTTTAGCATTTGCTGACCTTTGTAGTATAAATGGGCTTCTCAGGTGGTGCTAATGGTAAAGAACCCGCCTGCCAATGCAGGAGATATAAGAGACTCAGGTTTAACCCCTGGGTTGGGAAGATCCCCTGGAGGAGGGCACAGCAATCCATCCCAGTATTCTTGCCTGGAGAATCCTATGGACAGAGGAGCCTGGTGGGCTGCAGTCCATTGGGTCACAAAGAGTTGGAGAAGACTGAAGTGACTTAGCACGCACGCACATGGTATAAATACTCCAGGAATTTCCCTGGTGGTCCAGTGGTTACTTCCAGTGCAGAGAGTGCAAGTTCAATCCCTGGTTGGGGAAATAAGATCCCATGAGCCACGCGGTAAAAAAACACACACACACACACACAAAACAAAAGAACCCAAGACCTGCACAATAGCCAATTTCAAGCTACTCATGTGATGTGCTCCTTCCTTGTGCCTCCCAGATTTCCCAACAAATTGTCATTTTAATCCAGTCAGAAAGCCTGGGGGAGACAGCTTTGGGCACTTGGTTTCTCCATCTCCCCGCCTCTTTCCCAACTTTGCCAAGCTTCTCTCTAGAATCCTTGTTGCATTGACACCTGGGGCAGTGTGTGGGAGCACTGTGTTTTCCTCACATCTTCTTCAGTGTTAATGTTCGCCATTGCCATTGGTTTTTTTTTTTTTAATTGCATTGCCATTGTTGACAAGTGGTATCTCCTTATTTAGGACTTTTTCTGAAGCTCAGATTTGCTTTTACTCTTTCTTTGCTTAAAACCCTTTCATGATCCTTTGGACCAAGGCTCACCTCTTGATGCTGAAGCAGAAGCCCTTTGTCTCTCTTCGTCCCATTCCTGACCCTCTCCCTCACTTGCTCTTTCCCAAATGCGATCCCCTTCCCTGGACACTAAACCCTCCAGAACCTCTCAAACTATTGGAACTGTCTTTGTAATTCAAGACTTGTCCCGAATCATTACTTTTTGGGACTCTTCTCTGCCAACTAAATGTAATGGGCTTTTGGGAGGTGGGGGGAGTCTAACTTTAAAAGAAAAATGCAGTGTCACATTCCTTTCAGAGGCCTTGATCAGAAACAACTGGGCGAGCCTTTGGGCCTAGGAAGGATTTAGAGAACTAATTTGCCAAATGTGAGATTCATGAGAATTTTGAAGCATATAGTGGTAACTCTAGAGAAGAAGAAGGAGGGCTAGTAAATGAAAGATAGCAGCCCGAGGAAAAGATGTCTTCACCAGGGGGAAATTTCAGTAGAAGGGCTATTGGAGGAAAATTTTAGAACAATGAAGCCTAATACTCAGTTTTAAGTTTACTCCCACTTTTGTGAAAGCTTAGCTTCCCTAAAGCATACTATTGGTACAGGCATTCTATCCACAAAAATTTACATGGTGTTTTAGAAACAAAGGGAAAAAGGTGACAATATCTGAGGAATCAAGAGACAATGGCAGCCACAGAAAGTGAGCAAGAAAGTGATGAAAAATTTAGCAAGAGCAGGAATTCAGACTGAGAGGCAATCATGAGGATGTACTGAAGTCCTAGTCAAAATAGAGATGGGTATGTACTTTCCAGAGGATGTGGAGTAGGGATAGGGCTGTTCTGATTGGATGTAAAGGGAAAAAATGGCCTCAAAGGGTTGAAAGCCTTGAGGATATTTGGGTTACACACACATTCTTTCCTTCCTTTGAGTCCCCCCAGAATTTTGCACCTCTACTGGGGTGTTTTACATATAAACAGCCATTCATACCTTTGCCTTTGCTAGACAAGATGTCAACGCCGCTTAGAGGGCACCATCATTTTATACTCATGCTTCCTGGGGTAAAAGCTACATGGGGTGGGCCAGCCTCTTCCTCTCTAATTCCGCCTCACCAGCTACCACTAAAGAATGTTTGCTGTTTGCCAGCCCTGTGCTAACGCACTGTCAGATTACATCACATGA